TGCTGTTTCTCGCCTAGTTTTGCTTATTATGCTCACATATTATCCAAAGCATCCTTATCACAGTCAATATGTGAATCAATACAAATACATAACAACAGGTGCAATTATTTACTGTTTCTCAATCTTTATTCCTTTCTTAACACCCCTCCGTTTCCCACCTGCCAAAACATACACAGCACTCGCACTATCCTACTGTTTAGGAAAGAAACATGGATATTTTCTTTTGATTTATTTGTTTTGGCTGCTATATCACTGGGAGACTGGGGAAAAAAATAGTTTCAGTTTAAAGTTGGCAACATAGCTGTGTTGTGGGGATATGTTGGTCCTAGTGGTGCATGGAGTGAACCCTGAAATATAATGTTAGCAGTGACCTAAGAATTGTTTGTTAATAATGGTTTTTGTGATTAATAGTAAATGTGCTGAGATGTCATTTTCAGAGGGATGGGTTTGACATTTTACCTTTGAATACATGAACTCAGAACTATTAAACTTAAACTTTTGCATATTCACTTGTTGATTCTGTAACAGCTTATTCCTCGCTGCCATCAGACTGTTAAACTGTTGAACTCTCAATTAGACTTTGTATCACACTTGCAACATTATTTTGCACTACCAGTGTTGCTAAACTGGTATAGTTTTTTTATATACACAGCTCAAGGTTCTACTGCATTTTGCACCATATTTATTTTGCACTTCACGGAACTTTTACATATAAATGCCCTTTTGCACCATTACTTTAAACTGGTCTCTTTTTCTCCCAAATTGTTACATTCTGATCAGTGCTGGACTTTATATTGGTTGGTAATGTTTATCTTACTCCAACTGCAATGTCACTACACTACTGTAAGCTTAATGCAGTGAAATTTCATTTAGCATAAACTGTGCATATAAAATGACAACAAAGTTTGTCTAAGTCTAAGCATCATGTTGAAATTTTCCAATTGTCTTTAAGTGTGAAATGGATTCAATAATGAAATTAACAGAAATGTTTATCATCCTGAATCGATATAGACTTAATGTTCATAGTTCAATGCAGTGATTTGGATTCCGCAGAATCAACAAGTAATTTCTTTCCTTCAATTAAAATCTTGTTGGTATGTTGTCAAATTCTTTCTCTTTATAGTAAGTGCGATCTACTGGTCTCTCCACAGTTTAAGCTAATTGAGTCAGAGACAAATTCAAGGGCAGCTATTCTAGTTCAGCCCAACTGCACAAAAGTTAATATATTCATATTGAGAATGGAAAATTCAAAATCATTTTTTAAATCTATTTTACTTTACCAGCTTCTCTGTCCCTGCTGAAGATGAAATTGCCCAAAGCATTGCATGCCACTACCATGTTGTACTATAGATGTAATGGCTTTAGAATGTTATTTTTCCACAACAAATTGCATTTTACCAAAACATTTAAAATATATTTAAGCATAGTTTTAAATGTATTCATTTTGTCCCCTTTGTTTGTTGAGGGGCTATATGACTAACTTTAAACTCAAATCTCAAACTTTAAATTTTAATAAAAGATTTTTTCCTATCAAATCCTATTGATTAATTTGTTTCTCCCTTATGTTTTCACAATCAGAATGACAGATGACACACATTAGTTTCATAAAGGTAAAGACTCTCAGTCATCCAGGTTATAGTCATTCCAAAACAGTTTAAAAAAGAACTTTCTTTCTATGTTGAAGAAGTTTCGCTTCCCATCCAGGAAGCTTTTTCAATTCAAAATGTCAGAAATAGCGTTGAGTTTGAGGCTTTATAGAGAGGACCAAAAACCAAGCCTTGTTTTTGCTTAAAAAACATGCAAATTGAACCGGACAAACTGGTCCTCCTCTTAGGAATAGGCAGGCTGAAATCTGAGTCCACCCCTTTTTTTAAGTTTGGTTTTTCTTTCTTAACATAGATGGCTTCCTTCACGCTCTTCTCAAACCACCTGTCTTCTTTGTCCAAAATATGAACATTCTGATCCTCAAAAGAATGTCTTGGTCCATAAGGTGTAGATGTACCGCGGTCCAAACGTCTTCAAACTTGGAAACAAAGTCCAGTGGATTGTTTTTTAACTTTTTTGGAATAGTTTCATAAAATAGCTTTTAACAATTAACTCCTTTCAGAGGTGAGTTTAATTTAAATGGCAATTAAATTCAAGCTGTGAAAATGCTTGATAAACAATGTTTCATTTTTTCCAAAAATTAAATCTTCACAAACAAAAAATGTCATTTTTAAAAGAATAATCATCTGTATACTTTAAAGTTAAACCCTACTTGTTTTTGTTTTATCACATAATGTTCCATTAAAGAGCTTTGAGTTTTGTTTTTGGTTTTTAACCAAATCTGAAAAATTTTAAAGTAATCTACATTTTTGCAAAGCTCGGCAGTTCACTGTCAGATCTTGAATATATTCTTAGTGACTGGCCAGCTTTTTTTGTAATTTATTTCAGCTCTGGGTTTGTTTACTTCTCAGTTTGTGTAAGCTCTGCTTAAGGAAAACTTTTGGTTTTGTTTATAAAGATTATAATTTCATCATGGATCTGCCTTCTGCCAAACAAAGAAAATATTTGATGTCTCTTTGACCTGTTTCTTTAGCTTATAGAACCAAATATCAAGGCAAAACAGTTATTAGCAAACATGAAATTACTGGTTGGCAAATTGAAATGGAGTCTCTGACCATAATATGAGTTTCTCCAGCTGTCACTGGGTGAGAGGCGGGGACGCTCTGGACAGGATTCCAGCCTATCATGTGGACAGCTAGGAGATAAATCATGCATGCAAACAATACCTAAAAGGGAAGTGAGGGAGGAAAGCTAATTATTTGGAGATACATTCACAGTAAGACCATGCAGCCCGGAGCTGTTTTGCAAAGAAAAATGGGCAGAGAACCAGACTCTAAGTGCATTAAGTTAGTGGAAGCATGACCCAAAAGACTGTATTTGGAATAAAAGATGGTGCTCCAAAAGTACTGTCACAGGAAGCCAAATACATGCCACACTCTAAGTTTCATCTGAAAAACTATTTGTCATATCTTCCACTTCATCATTATCCACAACTATATATGATGTTCTAGCTTGTATAATCTCAATGCACGGCATCCAAGTTTATAGTGACAATATGACTAAATGTGTAGCAGATGAAGGAGTATGAAAACTTTAGCTTTAAAGTTTAAACTGGCATACTTATTTGGACATTTCCAAACAAAAAACAAAAACAAAAAAGGTAACCATGCAAACTGTCTTTAACACAGAAACAAAACATGATCCACCTGAAGGAGATCAGATAAAAAGTCTGTTTGTCTCTGTTCTATGCCCACTTGACCTTCTGCTCCTTTACTCTTTTCCTCTGGGATTTAGAATAAGCAGACAAAATCCTTAAAAAGAGTTCTGTTCAATATTTATTAAACTGTGACAAAACAATTTCCAGTGCATCAATCTTTGTGCTGCAGCGTGTCCCCTGAAGCTCCCCCTGCTCTGCCCTCAGGCGAGCTCTTGACATATGAGACCTGCTGTCTCAAAGACTGAAATCAAAAGTAAAATGCGCTAAATGTGCATTTTCAATATCACAATTTTTTTTTGCCAGTTTGTGTTAAGTATACATATATATATATATATATATATATATATATATATATATATATATATATATATATATATATATATATNTATATATATGTATATGTACATATATATGTATATATGTGTATATAATAGAAATGTGACAAGATTAATAAAATGCATTGTACTTTTTTTCAATATTTGTGCTTTAATCATTTATGCTATGGTTTAGCAATACCGAAGCCATGGGAAAAGCTAATCAAGTATTTATGAATTTAGGCGCTTAGGAGGGATTCACATGAAACGTTTTGGTCTACATCTAAAGTCTGTGTGTGGCAGCTTTAGCTACACTGAGATGCATTTAAGACAAGAGCTTCAACTATTGAATTCTTTGTTTTAAGCCACTGCTGAAAAGAACATGAGAGACATCTTACCTTGACTACATAATGAATGATGGTAAATTTATAGTATCTCTCTACTGGATTGGTCAGCAAACCTTCCTGACTAAAACCTCAAAGAGCTTTTTATGGTATTGTTAAAAGGAAGGTGAGACCCCAGAGCCTTCCACGCAGACGAGTTTAGGCTCCTTTTAAAGCAACCTGGGCTTCCTCTGCACCTCATTATCATCGGCCGATCCACGGTCTGCTGCACCAGAGCAATAATTCACACACTAAGGAATTAGGCAGCCTCACGTCTCTGTAATATTATTCATTTTATGTTTGTCTGATGTAATATTCTAACTTTCTAATCAAATTAATTTTGGGTTCCCATAGCTGGAAACTGAAATAAACAAAACTAAATCATTATAAAATACATTTTACTTTGTGTGTCTGGAGTCAATTTATTAAAATGTAACCTCTTTTCAGCTAGATTATAACAGTAAGATATTTATGTATGAATTAAACATACCGTTGATTAAGTGAGTAGTTGATTCAGTCATTTACATAGTATTGGGAATACAAGGGTTTCACTGTAAAAAGATTAGGAACCTTAATGATACTGATAATTAATATGTCGGTGCAGTCTAATCTCCATGATGTTTACAGAATATAGAGACATGTTCATGATTTTATGGAAACAACAGACAATTATCTTCCTTTTTCTGTGTTCAAAGCCTCAGTTGATTTGTATTATTTTAGTTGCTTGTGATGCTTCAGATCAGGGCGCACTGAAAAGAGGCATCTTTCAACTCCAGCTACCAAGGAGACTGAATAGATCTGATCTGGGTTCCTTTATCTGGGAGTCTTGTTCCAAAGGGTATACAGATAAGAGGATGCATCAAAGTCTGACATGATAACTGTTTTATGGAATGAAGTGTTTAGTATTTACTTCTTACTCTTTAAACCTTTGATTTGTTTCCTTTTAAGAAGCAGATCAGACTTGTAAGAACCTTGCTGCAGGTGTCTGAAATTCAGAGACTCAGAAATATTAAAGCTCAAACCTTTGATTGTGTTTTTCAGTGAGAAGTTCCTGGTGAGACTTAATAAGAATGGAGGACCAAAGAATCCGGAGAAGGTGGACCGGCTGTGTGCACTGTTCACGGTAAGCGGGACAAACACATGTCAACAACATGTATGTTTTTGGCTTTTTAAAAAGAGAATATCTAAAAGCGGCGGGTTTCCTAAAAGTAAGATTACATTGCCCCCTATTGATGTATGGTAGCATCAGCCTGGAGACAAATGTCCCCAAAAAGAATACAGACAAGGTAGAAGAGATGTATTTTTCTGTGGTTTTGAGAAATTCAAAAGGAAAATTTGTGCATTTTAGATTTATAAGTGTTTTGGTAATACTGGGTAATAATTCATGGTCAAAGCTGCTGGAGCATCTTTAGTTATGTAACATACCTTCATGTGCCCTTCCCTTTTTAAATTCAGAAGATAGATAAAATCTATGTCTATTAATAAAATAATTAGTCCATTGCTGTCTTTTTGAATGATCATTTGAACTGTCTGAACTGCAAAAAAAGAAACTTGTCCATGGAAAAATTAATGACTAGATTCCATCAAAGGTCTCCTTTTGTACCAATTTCTGTTTCAGGACTGATTTTATTTGTCATTTCAATTAGCATTTTTTTGACATGTCGGTTTGTCCTCTCTTGAACTGCAGGATCTGAGCAACAAGGACATGAAAAGAGATCTCTACATCGTCTCACAAGTTATTCGAACAGGTCTGACTGTTTTAACTCAGTCTTACAGTGCTGTGAAAATCTGCTGGCTGATATATTTCTTCTACTTTCTTTATTTTCATTATTAAATGTTTCAAATGAACCAAAAAGCAGCAGGAAAATATAAACTGAATTAATACAAAAGCTACTTTTTAAATTAAAATGTATTGGATAGATCTATCTGGAGCAGCTTTATCCTCAGTGAAAAAGTCTTGAATCAAGCATTAATAGTAATAAATGTTTTTGGTTTGATTTAACTAAAGCTACACCCCACGACTGATTACTGCCTGGTCTGTAGAATAAAGACATCATCTAAAGAGAACCTGTATTTTTAACTAGTGTTGCACCGATGCCATTTTTTGGCCCCAATACCGATACCGGATACCTGGCTGTGCAGTATTGGCAGATACCGATATCATCTGTTTAAAATTGATGTGTGTGTGTGTATATATGAAGAACTGCATACTACTTCGATGTAAAGTAATTGCCGCCATGGCTTTTTTTCAAGCTGCTGCCTACCTTTGTAAAGCAGGAAAACGACTGATACAAAGAAAATCCAGTAGAAATTTGTATTGCCTACCTGGAATGCGTGACAATAGTTGAATAAACTTTTGGCTTTCAAAATGGTATCGGTGCCCTATTTGTTGGTACTCGCCAATACTGATACCACCATTTTAGTGCTGGTTTGGGGCCCTGCAGGGTATCAGTGCAACACTAATTTTAATGTGACATATACAGTTCTAAAAATCTGGGAAAAAAAATAAAAAAATTGATGTTAATCATTGATATCAGTCTGGAAATGATGTCAGAGTCATTTCTAAGGTTTTGTGGCATCTGTGACCCAATTATGTAATGTACTTTCCATGGAGCCGGTGGCCAGCCCAAGTCACTCAAAGATAACATCCTAAATCATCCAGGAGATCAGAAAACAACCCAGAACAATCTCTAAAGTGTTGATAGCTTTAATTTTAATTAGTTTAGATCAGTATAAAAAAGATTTGGCCCAAATCATCAATGAGAGAGCCACAGTGCCAAAACCATTGCTGCCTGATAGATACACAAAGACCCGTATCAGATCTGCCTTAAAACACCTTAATTATTCCCAAAGCGTTTGGTGAAAACATCATACTGGTCCATTACACAGAAGGTAAACATTTGGAAGCTGTTCATCCTATTAAATGTGGTCTACAGACAACAACATAAAAGAAAAATAAACACAATGCTTTTTGTTGCTTCTTCTGGTCCTAGATTTATTTAGTTTTTAATCAATGGAAGTATGAATGCTGCTCTTTAGCAAAGAAAATGTATTCCTTAAGGACAATAACTAATCCGTTTGTGAGCACAAAATAAAGCACATTTGATTACTCAGAAGGACAATAACCCAAAACTGCAGAAAGTCCTCCTTTAAATGCCTAAAACTCAACAAACATCCCTCCACTGTGGCTGAAATAAATGGATTTTGCAAGAGAGGACAAAACTTCCACCACAGTAATAAAAACAAAACACATGATTATTGTTTTTGCTGCCAGGTGCAGCATTAATTGGGCTTATGGGGAATTACTTTCCCCAGTTTTTTTTTTTCCCTTAATAAGATAAATCATCATTTGGTGATTGTATTTTGTTTGAAATCATGTTATTTTCTCACATTATAAATTGTACCTGAAATATGCCTGTTGGAAAATAAATAAAAAAAAAAAAATGAAGAAAAGTGAAAACCTTTTCACAGCTTTGCATTAAATTCCATTTTGTAACTTAAGCAGAAGATACCAGGTAAAGATCATCAGCCTTTAGCGCTGAATATGAGTTATGAAGTTATGATCAGTTAATATGACATTGTTAAAAAAATTCTCAAAAGTACCTTATGACTTTTCAATTCTCTGATCCAAGTATACATGATTTTGTACTTATTTCAGGTCGCATGCTGCTGAATGACAGTAAGAAAGGCCCGCCGCACGTCCAGTACCGCAGACCGTACGGCTGCGCTGTTCTGGCCATGAGCGACGTGCTGCAGATCATCTCAGAGCTCAAAGAGGAAAAAGACTTTGTTCTCAAAGTTTACACGTGAGTGGCTGCTTCCACACAGATGATAAAGGTTGACAAAACTAGAGGCGCCGTACAGAGACTAAATTTAACACATAGCTCAAATTACAACTCTGTAGACGGATCAGCTTCATCTCCATAACAACCAGATTTTTGTGATTAAAGAAATCAGATCATAAAGTAATTCTTTCAAAACTTTCCCCATATTTAGATGATATAATTCCTGTTTATTTTAACTGAAAACAAACAAATCTGTCAGGAGTAAAACAGAATGAAAATGAAAAGCTGCCATAACTTGACTCCATCAGAGAAATACTTTATTGTAAACATTTTTTCATTCAGTTTCATCAGCTTATCTTCTGTGGTACGTGCCTGAAATTATTTATAGTGTTAAACCTGAAATACAGTTGAACTACCCCAGCAGAAGTTATGTCAAAATTTTGTGATTAAACAAAGGTATCAGTGAGGAACACAGGCAAACAATGATATTAGAAATTAGAATTTTCTCATAAACTATAGAGGAGATAAGATGCTAACTGGTCAGGAAATGAGTCAAGAGGCTGACAGCAACAATACAGAAGCTGCAGAAACAAAACTGAAACTGATTATGTTCTATTTTTAAGGAAGACCGGCCCTCATTCTGTGGTCAGAGACAGAATATTTTAGGCTCATAGATAAAGAACATAAAAGAAAGGATTAGAATGCTAAAAACAGCATAAGTTGTTATGATATTTTTACTTTCAGATTTGTTTCTCCTCTTTAATCTTCTCTCAGTGTTTTTTATTTATTTATTGTATTTCTTAAATAATTTCCAAACAGCTAATATTCCAGTGCTGTTTGCTATTATTTCAAACAAACCCTTAAGAAATGATGGCCTAGAGTGAAGGAATACCTGTCAGTTAAAAGAATCACCTACAGAAAACCTGAAGTGCTTCTTATCGCAGCACCATGTCTCTTTTTATTTTTTGGTTATATATGGGCATTTGTTTGAATACATTTCATGTCTTATTTCATCGGTTTTGAATAATTTCCTCACAGAGAGTGTTCTTTTGCTGCAGGAGGGAAAAAGTCCCTTTTAAATTTGACAGAGGGAAACATTTAATGAAGTCTTTTTTTTTTTCAAGCCTGTCAAACATTTCTGTTTTATGTACTTTGATATAAAAGCATTTGTGTTTCCCTCCAGGTGTAACAATGAGAATGAATGGTACCAGATCCATGAAAACATCATCCGCAAGTCAAGCACCAAATACACCGCACCCAGCACCAACTACGGTAGGGACAGGCGGAGTGAGAGTGGGGCTCTACTGTGGATTAATACATCATGGCCGTGTGAGGAGTGTCTGAGCATTGGATGGATTTGAAAACAATGTGTTTGATTATTAATTCCCTTTTTTTATATTATAATCTCTCAGGTTACTAAATAAAATTAATTAAATGTACATTTAAACTGTCCAGTGTTGCTATTTACACATTTTTAATTAACATTGACATGATTAACAATGTATAAAAAATATTTAGCAAATTGAGAGATTTCCAAAACTTTAAAAAACATGATTTATTTTTTCTGACTTTCAGCAAATCTAGTAACTTATTTCACTTTATATTCATTCCATCTAGTACTCTTTTGATGGCTTTCATATCAAGTTTTTTTTTTTTTGTATACCGGTAGGTATATAAGCTCAGAGCAACATTACAAACATTATACACGTGTTATGAATTCATACCTAAAATCATACCTAAATTATTAGGTCTTTAAATTCCATGAAAAAACGTTTTTCGGTGTTTTAGCATCACCTTTGCATCACAAGTATTTTTTTTTATCTTCCTTTTATATATTGAGTAAATTAGTCCTTAAAAATCTGTTAGGAAAATCAATTTTCTAAAAACAAGCCATAGCTACTGACTAAATGACATTTGAGAACTAAATTAAACTAAAGCACACAGAATGCAGGAGGTTAGAAAACAAACATGCAAACCTCCCAGGAGCAACTCCTCCATGCCATCTGACTGATTCCTGGATGTCAGATTTTTGACATTAGCTGGAAAATCCCCTTAATTGGCATCTCTGTAAGGGACTCAGTCTGACCTGACGTTACACTCTGAGCTCCTGCGGCCCAAAAGTCTCATCAGTTTTGACCAAATGTTGTGGTCATTTCGATCTGTAATGTCATTTTAGACTAATTTAAATCTGCAGCATTATTTTCAGATATCAACTGCAATAATGTGATTGAAGAGCGAAAACATCTTTCAGCATTCACTTGCTTGTTTAAGAGTTGAAGCACATTTCATTTTTATTGTTTAGGAAAAAAACATCCAGTTTGTTTCCATTCATGCAGACATGTCCTTCTTTTCTGTGGAATGACTTTTTCTCAACTCTTCTCTCCATGAAACCCTGCAGGACTGATCATCTCCCTGCAGCTGCTAAGAGGTGACATGGAGCAGGTCCGCAGAGAAAACCCTCTTATTTTCAGCAGAGGTGTAGCCATCACTCGGAAACTGGGATTCCCAGATGTCATAATGCCAGGTGAGTCACATTCTGGCACCCACAGAGGTTTTATTTGAATTTTTTTTGCTTTCAGATTTTTCTGGATGCAGCATAATAAGGAGGAAGAATATAGCTGCCACCAAGGGAAAAAAAACCCCCAGCTTTATCAACTTTTAATGTGAAAACTTTTAAAGTTCCGTCTGTTTTTGTTTTTTTATATACTTGAGAAATATAATAACACGTTATAACAATATGCATGTTTAACATTATGAAAAAAATGTAAAGATAAAGTAACCCACTTTAAAGTGTTATCGCTCTGTTCATTCCAACTTAACATGACTTGATGCAGCCACAGCTTCCCCACAGTAAGACAGAACAGGATAAAGTGATTTACGCCCCTGCAGCATGAAAGAAAAATGAGATGGAGGCACAAGTATGACGGATCATGTAAATGTGTTTACTCCTGGGAATGCAGATGCATCAAATCATTTTTAGGTAAAGTCTTATTTTTCATGGTTCCCACGGATGTAAAACAAATTTTTCAGTTTCCAGTGAAGTTTTAATTCACTCAAACAGTCCCACCTGCAGTCCTACAGGATGAACTTAGTGCTGGCGTCGTTTCACATGCGGTAGATTCAAAATACAGAAAAAGAAAAGACAGAGAAAATAGGACATGAGAATAATAAAGACGCAGTTTTCAGAAGTAGATAGTTCATAGCTCATAAGATGAAGGTGAGAACATTTTTGTTCCATGTTTTTTTCTAATCAGATATCTATGCTCCAAGACATTGTTACACCTAATTTTAATAATAAAATTATAAAAACATACAGTCTGAGCTCCAGGTGTGATTAAATCGCAAAGATTTTTTTGCAATTGCAAAAACAAAACCGTGTCTGCAGTACCAGACTCTTCCTATTTAGTTTCACGTGTGTTCATAATCAGAATGCAATATTTAGATGCATATTTAAGAGTATATAACTTTAAGAATTACCCAGATAAGCACAGGAAGGAACATTAACCCTGAAAACTGTCCTCTAAAAGCAGGGACAGCACGGCTGCATTGTAAAACACACAACATGTCAAAGGGTCTTTCACACCTCTTTCACACACATTAAGCTCTCCTCCCCTTAGGCAGAGATGGAGTGAGTATTTAACGCCCATATGATATATTAAAGGTGACACCTCCTCTGTAAGGACGAGCAGGAAATGACAAATGAATCCCCACGTGAAAACACAGGTCATTTATCTTTGGTTTGTTAGATATTCAATTTTAAATGTGTTTGAGACTGTTTGTGCTTCAGGACATGTTTGTCCTTTATGCTCCGGCTGTTCCCTCTCCTTATGTTACTGTATGTAGTATTTAAATGTGAACACACCAATCCCATCTTTAAAAAAGGACATTATTTGTTATTATGGTTGTTGTTGTTAATTTGTTTTCTTTTGTCTCATTCTTTCTGAATCAGGCGACATCCGTAATGACCTGTACCTTAATCTGGAGCGAGGCGACTTTGAGAGAGGAGGAAAGAGTGTTCAGAAAAACGTTGAAGTGACGATGTATGTCATCTACGCAGATGGAGAAATACTGAAGGTATGAAGCTGGTCTGACAAATACAGTTTATCCTGCTTAGTTTGATATATATATATATATCTATATATATATAGATATATATATATATATAAAAAAAAAAAGTGCAGCAGATGCTGGAAATGGTTAAAGCATCATGACCTCATACAGGTAGGCCCACATTAATTCATAAACAAGGTTAGAGTTACATCAAACAAATTCTGTTAAAATAAGTTTTGTTTTTAAAAGGAAATTAGAAATGCATTCTCTAAACAATAATAAGTTGATGTTTTAAATTGAGATTTTACCTTATTTAACTGTACATATTCTTTCTCCCAAATCCACCAGGTTTATACTGTGAAAGCAATTCGTTTTTGGTTATTTGAAAAAAGAAATGACGCTACAAACATGATTTTCATCTTAGTCTTTTAACAAAAGTTCTTACAATAGTTGCAGAGCAGCTTTTTGCTTGTTCCAAGGTTGTAGGTTAAAAAACTCCCTATCTAAACCCCAATCTGTAGCTTTCTCCAATAAATTCTTATTAGGTAATGTAAACTTTTGTAAAAAAAAAATAATAATAATAATAATAAAATTGCAGAAGTTTTATGACAGTTTAGTTATATGATTTATGATATTACTTTTTCTCCTCATATTTTCCAATCCAATCCAACTTTATTTTTAAAGCACTTTAAAATTTCCCTAAGGTCCAAAACGCTGTACAATGAAAAAACATTAAACCATTACACAGACTAGTCGGACATAGATAAAGAAAAAAATGAATAAATAAAAAAAAATTATAAAGGCATAAAAGAAATAACTAAATACAATTTTGAACTATAAAATCTATAATAAATTAAAAATTATTTAGAATAATTAATCATAGGCTAAAATCAACATCTTACATAGTTTTGAAAGCCAATACAAAGAGATGAGTTTTAACGAGCGATTTAAAAATCAGGCAGAGAGGTAGACTTTTTAATTCGCATTTGAATCATAGCTGCCTCAACAATGAGTGCAAGAGTTATCAAAATAGTTCACATTTAACTAAATAATTTTGTCCCAGGTAACAGCTCTCTGTGGATTTAAAAATTGTCGGCTTACTGTAAACATTGTGATTAAGGGATCTCTCTGTTATTGTTTTTTGGTGATTGAACACTGTCTCTGGCTCGCCCTGCAGGACTGCATCAGTTTGGGTTCAGGTGAGCCCAACATCCCTGAGTATCGCTCCTTCGTCCTTTACCATAACAACAGCCCTCGATGGAATGAAGTGATCAAGCTGCCAATTCCCATCGATCGTTTCAGAGGATCCCACCTCCGCTTTGAGTTTAGACATTGCTCAAGTGAGTAGATTATTAACAATGAGTTAACAGAACTGTGAAAAATATTAGTGCTGAAGAGAAAACAGATAACTGTACAGATGAAAAAGAAAACAGAAACCATGACAGCACAAACAATTACAGTAGTTCTCAAAGCCTTTAATAATTAATTGTGTCTCATTGTCTAGTTGCTAAAACGTTAAGATGATGAATTTATTTTTTTATTTGTGCTCTTTCTATTCTCTTCCTTTATATTTTTAATTCTTTCTTGTTTTCTATCTCTCTACAGCAAAGGATAAAGGAGAAAAGAAGCTGTATGGCTTTGCCTTCACTCCACTGATGAGGGAGGATGGAACTACTTTATCTGACGAGAGTCATGAGCTCTATGTCTATAAGGTCAGACTGGAAAAACACTACATCTCTCGTTGTCTGACTCTTCCACTTTGTTTTTATTCAATTTCTGCTCTCAGGGATTTAAATTTTGTCTGAAAATAATAAAAAGTTCATTTGCACCATCAGGTATCCAGTTTACTAGTCAGTGAAGTTCTAATTCTTCATTTTTCTAATTAGGGTTGCATCAATATTTTTTTGGTTGTTGAACTGGAGAATTTGAAATTTAATTTCCCTTTTATTTTCAGTTGTTAGAAGTAAAAGTAGATTATATTTCTTTCAGTTGATGTTTAATTCATCTGTAATAAAGGAACACTTGTTTAATAAATGCTAATCAGAGCAACCTCTCCTTTTTTCTGGTCCTTGTTCGTTTTATTTGTTGGTCTCTTGGTTTCAGTGTGATGAGAATACAACCTTCAGTAACCATGCCCTCTACCTGGGTCTCCCCTGCTGTAAGGACGACTTCAACAGCTGTCCCAACATCCCCTCCAGCCTCATCTTCCAGCGCAGCACCAAGGAGACCTTCTGGATCTCCACGCAGCTCTCCTCCACCAAACTCACTCAGAACGGTGCCCAATTTATCCACTAGTGTTTAAGTCTGCTCAGAATTTAGTATGAAAGTGAAAAATAATTTTCTACAGGGAATTTTATTTATTTATTTTTTTTTTATTGCAAAAACAGATGCTAAACATATTTTGCTCAATAATTTTCAGGCAGAGTGTCATATAGTCATCATCTATAATAAACCATGTCCAACTGCTGCTTATTCCTCTAAGCAATGCATGCTAAAAAATGTTGACTGATCTCATCACCAAACAGCAGTAAAAAAAATATGGACATATTTCATGATGGGAATTAATCAATCTGTCAGAAAAATGTAAAAGCTCACCTTTTCTTTACAGCTTAACGCCAATTATCATAGAGCAGACTTGTTTCTAATAAATATTTTTAGAGTCGCCATATTTTTCCTATTTCTGCTTCAAGTTATTCAAACAGTATTATAATGTTCAGATTATGCTTATTTTAATTTAAAGTGGACCTCTTGGCCCTGCTTAAGTGGAAGGCCCATCCTGACCGGGTCATGGACATCCTTGGGCGTCTTCGACACGTCAGTGGAGAAGAAATCGTCAAGGTGAGGTTCATTGAGACGACAAAGAGTGAAGGAGGGCTCTATTTATGTCCATCGCCTTCATGATATCAAAAATATTCACTAAAAATGATTAAAGTTGTGGTTTTATAAGTGGAAAACTCTGACCAAGTCTCATTTTCAGACTATTTTAACCACCCGGTCGAGGAGAAAATTTATGTTAACCATTTGCACAGCTTTACAGTTTCTCCTTGTGTTTTAATTGGGCTTAGCTCAGAGGCTTCCTTTGCTCTAGTGTGATATCCCTCAGGTGATTATATACTGTCCTTGTCCTGGATGTGTTAATACAAGGCAGTGATTTCCAGTGTTTGGCAGCTAACATCATCTGAGGTGTGAAACTGCTGGCAGCACATTTCAACCCAGTTTAATTTCACTGAGCTTTATTTATTTTGTTGCAGTTCTCTGAAGTAATCTTTGTAATGGATGGATAGCCAGTTAAGGCCATCTGGCTGCCATGTTCAGTCAGTGTTCCTCTGCAATTAACCCGACATTGACCTTTGTTAAATCTGTTCCTGCAGTCACCACTAACTCACCAATCTGCCCAACCAGAAGCTGCCAGCCACCTGCACCTTAATCATTTATTACTTAGTAATTTTTTGTTTTATTTTATCATACAAATCCTTAATAAAAAAAATGGAAGAATAGTTTGAAGTGTTGTACCTTTATAAGAGATGTAAACATTGAAATATAGTAGACTCATCCAATAAATATTCACACCCTTAGTAATGACTTTCAAACCCTTACAGTAGTAATGACTTTCAAAGTGAGCGACCATCTGCAGAGGCTGACTGGGGTTCAAGGAGACAGAAGCAGAGATACAAAAAGCAGCTGTAAAAGGCGGCCCCATCCAGGAAACACACACAGCCTGCCACAGCCAGGTAGACGAGCTCCGAGTCAACTCCCATGTCAGAGGATGAAGAAAGCACATCTAGTCAGTCAGAGTCAGAGAAACAGGACTATACTGAAAAACAGGCCAATCTCCAACATCTATAAACAAGGGTGTTGATGGCAGCAGCACAGCTGATATTTCTCTCCAGGATGGTGTCACAGCCAAACAGGAACAGACGAGGCAAAGCTACTATGAGAAAAGCTGAGCGAGTACAATGCTAGAGATTGACGTCTAAACTCTAAAGTTGAGTTTAGATGCCTGATTTCCACTCATCATCCTTTTAGATGATCAGTTGAGCTTTAGTTTTCCCCTGTGGAGACTGAAGTCGGTCCAAATATTAATCATTGCTATTGTTCTCCACCAGTCAGGCCTTGTTCATGACTATCAGAAGCTACCATTCACCAAAAGGCAAACTGCAGCCTGTATGGATTTGACCAAAATCACATCAATGATTGTCAGACTAAGAGAAGCTAACGTTTCTAGTCTGGTGTAATTGTAACGTTTTTTGTGGATTGCCGCCTAAGTCTGTTGGTTAATCATGAGGAAGAAGAAAAAAAAGGGGTTGTGAATACTTACTGATGCACCGTTGCTGGGTTTTTACTCAGATTAATCATTTAACTTCATAAAGAAAACTAAATAATCAAGGCTTTCATCAGATGAATGAGTTTGTTTCTCTTCAAAGGGGGCCTCCATGTCTCTGAAACTGGAAACAGGATGATTTGTGATGTAATGAATAGATTAAGAGATCCTATTAAGCTGCCGCAAGCTTACATTTAGGTAACAATGTTTCTATTTATTTGTGTCTTACAGTTTCTCCAAGATATTCTGGACACATTATTCTCCATCTTGGATGACAACACAGACAAATATGGACCTCTTGTGTTCCAGTCACTGGTAAGACAATTTATTGAAGGAAAGGCTGTAAAGCTGGCAAGAATTGAAACGACAAAACTCTCATATAAAATCTCTCAGCTAGCTACAACTAAACGTCACTAACTTTATCTGACACACTTCAGTTTTAATTAGGTTTTGTGTTGAAATGTTTTAGAATAACTCAGCCTCATATTCTATCATAAAGCTATTTCAATATAAGAATAGTTATTAATATTAAAATGAAGAAAAGTGAGACTTTTACTGGTGTTTTTATTCACGCAGTTTATTTAAAAAAATGTTATACTAGATATGTCATGAATAATAAAAAGTTCAACTGTCCTGGATTTGATTTGTGGAAATTTTTTTATGATGTTATAAAAAAAATTATTTAAGTACCGTAATAAACATTCATACAATATCTTACCCAGTTGAAGTTTATATTTTCCTAAAAACCTTAATAAAGATTACAGTAGCAGCCATTCAAAATGGCCCTTCCCACGTCAAAATGGCAGCCTCCTCCCCTGCGACTCCCAGCAAAATCCCCTCCAACTTCCAGGCATTGGCCTTCTCCTGGGCATGGATTTTTTTTTTTTTAGTCTGGCTCCAGCCTTTCACTTCTCTTTAGATCTTAATGTCCACAAATTATGACAGAAAGAATATTTTAGTACAAAGATTGATGTGTAAAAAGGAATTGTAGGGGACCAGCCAAGTACCATCAATGAAAGTGGGGAAATTTTAAAAGGCTACTACTATACATTTGCTTTATATATTGCTATTAGAAATCAGTTAAATACAGAATATAGAGAAAAGATTAAGCTTCCTTGTATCTGAAGTTGTAAAGGAGGCTTAGGTATTGGGTTTCACCAAACTAAGGGGTTTATCCAAAGCCCAATTTCTGCTAAACAGTAAATTAAATAAAAAATATATATATTTTTACTTTGGTTGTTATGAATTTTCAGCAAGATTTATTCCCTTAATTTCTTTCCTCTTTGAAAGGCTTAAAGCTTATTAATATTTCCAGTGCTTCCTTCACAATCTTCTCTCTCTCTTTTCCAGGTTTTTATCATAAACTTGCTGAGGGACAGTAAATATTACCACTTCAGGCCGGTGATGGACACATACATCCAGAAACACTTTGCTGGGGCTCTGGCCTACAAGTGAGTTCATTTGCCTCTAGCTGCTACTTTAGATGAGTCTGATCCAATGAAGGAGGTAATACTTCAGTTATTCCATCAAATAGACAAATTAAACAACAATATTCAAAGAACTATGAGATGCAACATGATGTCAAAATTAGCTAATTTTTAGAAAAGTGAGTTGATCTCATTTTATTAATTATTGCTTTTTAATAAGGTTTCTGTTTTTTGTCAAAATGATTTATGTTTTGATCCCCAGCGTAAGCAAAGTGACCAAACAGTTCAATGTAAATTGTTAAAAATTTAATCCCTTCCTCTGATTAGGAGGTGGTGTGTTTACTAACAGATATTACTCGCTGTGGTTCTATTTTATTTTCCAGAGAGCTGATTCGCTGTCTGAAGTGGTACATGGATCGTTCTGCTGAGGTGGTTCGACAGGACCACATTCAGGAAGCTATGAGGGTAAGAACCAGTGAAAACTCACGGCTGACCCTGTTATAACATCTCAAATTGTTCAAAGCAGAGCAACGCTTAAAACTGTTCACCACAATGTTTATAGATTAATACATTATGCACTATTACATCGGGGAAAAAAAGGATAAACACAGCCAAGCTGGTAAATGTTGCAGTCTGTGTCACTCCACACAGTTTTCTTTCACTAGTGAACTTTTCCAAAACCAAACCAAATTAATAAAGAATAAATGCTTCCTTTAAAATTACATTTGGTCTTTGTGTAATCTCCTTATCTGCTGACAGTGAATGTATTTTAAATCGATGCACCATGTTACTATATGTGCAGTATGTGGCACTTTTTTCCAACAAAGCTGCTCAGCAGTTTTAAATATTAATTAGGCTGGAACATCTATTTCCAAATGGGTCACCCTGTCATATAGAAGTGGACATATTAATAATTTAAGAGGTTTTTTTTTTTCATATTCCACAGCGTTGGCTTCTCTTCTCCGTTTGTACTCATCTTGTAGATGTCTCCATAGGCCTCAGTGGTTTTTAGTTTCTGTCTGTTAGTGTTAATGTTATTTTACACACTGTGTGTTTTTTCATCTTTAAGTTTTCTTGTTAGGCTGACATGCTTGATATGTTTAATGAAAACAGCTTGATTCAGAGTTTTGAATTTCTCTTGAGCTGCAGATGGAGGGTAGTTTTCCATGGTGTAAACAATCGAATCCAGATTCATTTAACAGTTTGCTTGCTGTTTGTTTATCACTGATGCAAACTGAAATAAACTTTCTCCAACTAATTTTCCAGCTGTCATCTGTGCATTTGTGTTGTTCTTTATTAATTTATCATATCACCTGTTTCTGTCCTGAACATCACCTGTCATCAGGCTCTGGAGTATCTGTTCAAGTTTATCATCCAGTCTCGCATCCTTTACTCCCGGGCCACCTGCGGCATGGAGGAGGAGCAGTTTCGAACCAGCATCCAGGAACTTTTCCAGTCCATCCGATTCGTTCTCAGCCTGGACAGCCGCAACTCAGAGACTCTCATCTTCACTCAGGTGAGGCTGCAGGCTCTAAACACTCATACTGAGAGCAGCGTTTTTTCATCTCAGTGCTTTCTTCTTTTAAACCAAGAACACATCTGACTCTTAGCTCATTTAGTCACAAACTGCAGCGTCTTTTTTAACGTGCCTCACACAACAATTTAATTTGCTCTTAAAACATAAAGGCCATTAATATTTATTGAGTTTGGCTTAATCTTTGTGAGCTCTCTATCTCAGCTGTTTTGTATCAGTTGCTTTAATTTGACTTTTTCTCCTTCTACATCTCTTTCTACTTCCCTTACTTATTCGCTTCACCTGTTTTTTCAATCCCCCCTGAACTCTCCTTCATTGGGTCCCAATGTTTTTTTTTCCTGGACCTCCTTCTTACCCATAAACCACAGGGCTCCCAGCCTTGCCCCGGCAGTCAGGCTCCAGGCCCCTGCTCAGGGCCTGCTGGCCCATTAGCAGTAGTATCTGCACTGAGCCAAATCCAGACTCCTGTCCCAGGACAGGTACCTGGGAGCATCCCACCAAGCTGCTCTCAGGCCTGGAGCTCCAACGCTCTACGGCCGCCATCGCTGTCAGTAAGTAGACGACTGGAAGAAAGCAACAACTCCCAGTTTGTTGTTTGAAGCCCAAAGTTCTTGTTCATCTATCCAGCAGTTTGTGAGCCTTATGCATAAACGCCTTTACTGCTGCACCTCATGGTCACATATTTGAACACATTTCTGTTTGCCCTGCACCGATGAACCATACTCACTGGTCTACAAAGCCACTACATCACATCATGCCCACCTACATAAATCCACATCCCTTGTAACAACAGAAATAGGTCCATCAGTTTCTAAATGTTGAACCTAAATGTTAAAAATTCCAAAATTATTCATAAAACAAAATAAGATTTAAGTTTTTGTTTGTTTGGTTGGGTTTTTTTTCTGGTTGAACACTATGTTAATATTTTGGACGGCCCTGGCCAAAGTCTGAACTTGAATGTGACAGAAAACAGTGGAGGGAGCAAAAGATTAGGAAAGAAGGCCTTCCTTCCTCTAAACAAAGCTTGTCTCAGTAAAGAAACAATAAAATTAAACAGATGCCAGATTTTGAAAAGATCAATATTCTTTGTTAGTTGATGGTGTGTTCAGAAAAAGGTATTCAACTACTATACAGTCCAGTTAAATAAACGGAGATCGATGGATTTCAATCAGTCTGCATTTTATTTTCTTTGCAAAGTAAAAGAGAACATAATAGTCCAGTCCTGCTCTGGTCAGTCAAACTTTGTCTCATTAATTGAAACCCTGCAGGAAAACTGTGAAAGCCTCCACATATCGTTACCCAAAGAATTACAGACAGTTGGAATCAACACATAACATTATGAAATAATCCCTGAGAAAATCTAGCTTGTTATGAGAACCGTTATTTTCATCCCAAACACTCCCTAATAGGATGAACAACCCCTCTCCCTCAAACACCTTTCAGCCTTACAGCACTGAGGCCTGAAAGAATGAAACTCTCTCATAAATCAATATATTGAAAAGGGAATTAATAGGAGATTGATTTTTTTTTCTCACCATAATGGTAAAATTACTGGCTACATATTGCAGGACATTATTATTTTTAATAACTTTATTTCATAAAAAGATTGATGGATGAAGAAAAACTATTTCAAGTCTATAAATTTTGATCTAGTTCTAAATATTCAGGTGCTAAGCAATGGACTTACCTAAAAATAACAAAAAAAAAGGCTTTACTTTTTAGAGCTATTGATTTAGCTAATAAGAGATGCTATTATTTTTGTACCAATTTAACCTCATTTTATTCATTCTGTTTACTCTGTTAGAACTAAATGGATCATTATTGAGATACAACAATATATCTGAACAGCCTTTATCTATTAAGCCATGAACATGAAACCAGGCGGTGGCTTTAAAAAGATTTAAACCTCTGCAAAATGGCCATGTCGGGATAAGGCTGAAAAAAATTCACACAAAAAATTACAGCAGTTATGGATGATAGAGTTTCATCATGGATTATACAGAAGGGATTCGATTGGGCCATTATTATTTTTACCTACTTTTGTTTAAATAAAGCATTATACCTGCAGATGTGCAGCTCCATTCAGTCAGTCACTTTCCGATCTGTCAGATAATAAGGCTGTTTGGAGTTATCTCACTGTTATCAGTCCACTCAGATAACAATAACATGTAACATTAAACAATGAAATAGAACCAGCAACCTTTTGACTCACAAGTCTTTCAAGTAGTGTCATGTAGTAATTTTAGTATTTAAGTAAAATCAGTCTGATTGACCTCAACCTTTGGGTGCGGCAACTCAGAAACCAGAGAAACGTTATGTTTGCAACTAACTTCCCAAATTCTATCAACAGCATTGATTTTCTAATGTAAAAGCCAGTGATTGTGGATAATTATCACTCAGATAAGTTTTCCTATTTTTTTAAGTGTTCAGTTTTGGTTTAACTCTTGCTTAACTGAAAATCTTTATAAATGTTCCCCAACAGGTGTAAGGTTTTTCCCTCCTCTTTCCTTTCTGCTGTTTATCTTTTAAAATAGGTTAACAAAAAGTAATCTAAATGATTTATGCTGTTTCAAAGACATTTAAAGGCCACTTAAAAAAAAAAAAGTAGATTTATTAATGAGTCTAATATCATGCTGTGAAGTGGGACAAACTTGCATGAGCTGCACACCTGTGTGTGATGAAAAAAATTAATGACTTTTTGGATTCAGTTTTTCACAGTAACTTGGTTCTGCTCTTTTTGATATTTTTTACAGAAACCATGGGGCACCTTTCTTTCATCGCATTCTCAGAAACAGACACCATTTAACCCCTTGTTCTGTTTCTAGCATAAATCTTCATTCCCTCATCCGTCACCTGTGTCATTATTTAAATATCCACCTAATTTTCTTAATTTCTCTCTTCCTCTTTTCCTCTTCTTCAGGCGGCCCTGTTAAACTCATTCCCTGCCATCTTTGATGAGCTGCTGCAGATGTTCACGGTGCAGGAGGTGGCAGAGTTTGTGCGTGGCACTTTGGGCAGCATGCCGTCCACGGTGCACATTGGCCAATCAATGGATGTGGTGAAGCTGCAGTCCATAGCTCGAACTGTGGACAGCAGGCTCTTCTCTTTCCCTGGTGAATACTTTCTCTTATTGATCGGCTTAATTCTTATTTTAGTCTAATATTTCCAACATAAGACTAAGGTACTATGAATTATCATTTTAATTAGAATAAGCACCAACAAGTCAATGAAAGCTGTCTTTGAAAATTAAAAAAGATCCTTTGAAAACAAAACAAACGTGATAAGATTTATCAGATAAGTTATTGAATCATTGCTTGTCAATATTGGATTCATCTCAATAAATGACACATAATGAGGGGCTGTTTAACCTGTGCGTCTTTATGCCTTCAGAGTCTCGTAGGATTCTGCTTCCAGTGGTCCTTCATCACATCCATCTTCATCTGAGGCAACAGAAAGAACTGCTCATCTGTTCAGGGATACTCAGCTCCATTTTCTCCATCATCAAGAGCAGCTCCCTGGTAACCCATGTATACACATGAATAAAACATATGCAGAAAACACATCTGAGTTTTCACATGATATTTACATATTTATCTTAGAAGTTACAGAAACATTCAAACAGACTCAGCTTGAAGTTTCTTATTAGGTCCTTAAGTGGGCAGTTACATCATCAGACGGACACTACCTTTCAAAATAAAGTTTCTTTTTATTTTTTTTCTCATATTCAAAATATATATATATATAAAAAAAAACTCTTCAGTTCATTCTTCAGTTAATTTATATTTTACTGTGGCAACATCAACAACTATAACATACCTACCATCCACTGTTTGTGACACATCTGAATGATTTAATGCTGCATCAAAAACTATACAGATTAAGATATGAACCTAAATGTATCTACATTTATAAGCTTGTAAGAAGAATTAACAACCACTTATCACGGATAGGATAAATAACAAAACTGATTATTGATTAAACACCTATTCCCTTATGAGCTGAACTTTAACTTTGCCAAAAAACACACAAATGCATGAAGTGATAAATAAAAATGATGCAAATTCTACTATACAAACTAGTTGGTTACTGGGAATATTTTAGGACCAGGGGATGAATATTGGAAAAAAGTCAATAAAACCTGAAACTTCCAGGACGTGCTTACATGGTTTATTAAAGATAAAAGGAAAGCATTTACTGTAGTTCCTCACTCTCTTTAAAACCTAAGTCCTTTAGGTGATTATAGGGCATCTGATTTCTATCCCCTGCTTTAACCTAAGAACTACAAACCTTGTTCAGAACCAGACTTCATTTGTCACTTTTCTGCACCTACAACACCACAGTAATTGGTGAAACACTTCATATGTTCATTCTTCTCTTAGACCTGGTAATATATCTGCTTTTTTTTATTAAAATCAGTTTATTCCAAAAGCCCTTGGCCAGTCCATATAGTTGCAACATCAAAGGTGTTACTGTTGTTTCTACTAACATTCCTGCTTCCAGGATCTATTTAGGGTATTAGGATAAAGTGGGAGAATCGCTGAACCAACTTTCTACTAAGAACATGAGCTTTCTGAAAGACGCGGTGTTGGTTTTGACTTAGATTCGGTTTTATGAATCAGTCTGTAACTACAGACTATGCACAAGTCTATATCCTTCTTCCCACTGACAAAAGGTATTGTTTTTTTAACTAAAAGCGAAGTATTGGGTAAATGTGAGATGTTAGAGAAAGCAGGAGTTTTCACATAAATCTTATTAAAATTTCAATATTATTTATCTCTTTTGATATTTACCAAATGGCATTAAGGTAGCAACAGCAAACCTTGATTCATAATTTGACTTTATCTTCCTCATATTAACTTTCCTTTTCTGTCTTCCTCTTTCCTTTGCATGCACCTCATATATAATCACCCCCTCACTCAAATTTCTCAGAAATTTTTTTTCAAACTGTTTCCTTCACTCCACGTTTGCTCCCCATCTGTTGTTCCTCCAGGACACGTCGGTGCAGGAAGAGGTGGAGATGATGGTGGAATCTCTGCTGGACGTCCTCCTGCAGACACTTCTGGCCATCATGAGCAAGAGCCAATCGCAGGAGGCGGTAAGAGGTCAACGCTGTCCGCAGTGCACCGCGGAGATCACTGTTAGTAACTAACAATATGACTACTACTTCACCGCCCTCCTCCCTGATCTGACCCTCCACCCTGGTCATGCTGCCTCTCTGTTTAGGGCTGGGCAATATTAAACATGGTTCCCCTCAGTTCTTACAGTGATCTATAGTGCAGGAGGTTACAGGCTACTTTTTGACAAAGTTTAATACATTGAGGCTTTAATCTTGAGTATAGAGAATAAAAAGTAAAATAGTATTTCATATTGCCCTGTCCTAATCCATCCAGTCATCACTGCCATGCATCGTTACTGTTCTTATTAGACCCCAACCTCTTAATCATGCCTGGAATGCCTGCATGCCTCAATATTAGCATTTAATGTTTCTTGTGCCCCTACATCCTGTTTTATTATAGTGAGACTTATTTGCACCCCTTAAACAATTAACACTTTTTTATGTTTCCAAGACAAACCTCAATGTATTTTATTAGTATTCTGGACGTAACACACAAAGAAGGGCTTCGCTGAGGAGAAGAAAGGAGATGAAACACGGATTTAAGAACAGTTTACTGATAAAAAATATTATCAGGTTGAAAATGCATATTTACATTCCTTTGCTTTTATCCATTTTTCCCAAATTACCTTGTTCCCTAATCATTTTTGTTCTTTTTAAAGATCTTTAATCAAGACATGTTCAGGATAGGAGGTTTTCATTATTTGTTGCCATGAAGAAAAATATTTATAACAAAAGGAACCAGTTTGTCAGCTCCATAAATCACAACATCGTAGGAAAATAACAAAACACATTCAACACTATTTTGAGGACTCAAATAAATACAGTAATAAATAATTCCCCTTAGTTTTGGAGATCAGAGGTAAATTTAATAGTTGACCATAATAGACATACCGGTACTTTTTGTCCTCCACAGAAATGAATGTTGTCCTATGGCGGTAGTGTGTTGTTTAGGAACAAGCTTCTCATCTTTTCCCCCAATTGGTCCTTTTATGCCTGTGACTGATATGATTGGCTCACATGTCTGTCCCGTTCTTCCTTTATGGCAGGGGGAGTACGTTTCCTGCCTCCTTTCCCTTCTACGCCAGATGACCGACATCCACTTTCAACGCTTGATGGAAAATTTTCAAAGCAAGGATGAGCTCAAGGTACAACCTAAATACCACGTTGGTAATAACATATGAGACTCAAACCTGTTGAAGTTCAAATATATTTAATTACATGGTAATAGCATTTAGAAATGCTAAATTATAGGTGACACTAAAGCTTCTTTTTTTCCTCATCTCACAGGAGTTCTTGTTGAAGATTTTGTGTGTCTTCAGAAACCTGATGAAGCTCAGTATTTTTCCTCGTGACTGGAACATCATGAGGCTGCTGACCAGCAAGTAAGACACAGAAACAATCTGGGAGACAGCCGAGACATCCATCAGTGTTGAAATGGATAAAAACTTTAGACTAAGGAATGAACAGCAGCCACTAACACCAGTCACATCCTTGCTCTCTTTGTTCAGCATCATCCTGACCACAGCTCAGCAGCTCGCTCCAGCTTTGCACAAGAACTTTGCTGAAACAGACTTTGACTTCAAGGTACAGATTACAATAACACAGTGAGAATAACATGTTTGATTTGCCTTGAAAGTTAACTTTCTGCTGTTTTTTCTGTATGGTCGATCATAAATTTATCATAAAGAAACAGCTTTTAAAAGTAGTTGAATTTTCTCTGAAATTTTCAAAGCATGAGAACAATATGAATCAGCAAAAAGACATGAAAATCAGAATATTATAAAATTCTAATCTGTAATAAACTTACAAGAGGAAAAGACTATTTTGCCAAAGGGAGATAAATCTGCAAAACTCTGATGATCTTTTTGCATTTAACATCCTTAAACATTTATTTGGGTAGATCTTACTAGAGCTCACCATCTAAGGACATAAATAAAGCCTGTGCATCAATGCCTCTGTGTGTGCATGAGCAGGTGTGGAACTCCTACTTCAGTCTGGCCGTTCTCTACATCAACCAGCCGAGTTTACAGCTGGAGAACCTGAGTCCTGCTAAGAGGAAGAAGATCTTAGACAAGTGAGTAGACTCACACAAACATATTAGAAATATTTGAAATATTACAACAGTTACAGATTTTCCTATGTGCTGCAAGAAGCTACTCCTATCTCCTACTCCTCAAAGACTGCAAACACATTAAAACACTTTATTTATGTGAAAAAATCAACCTGTTTTCCAGGAAGGATCATTTCCCTCCAGATTTGATTGACATCTGAAATTCTCTTTGTTTCTAATACTCCATATAAAAGGAGACAAGACAGTTAATAGATATAGTTTGAACATCTCCACCTGTTTGATAATTTCAAAGGTATTGTGAAGGATTTTCTAATAAAAAAAAAAATGCACGTGTGAGAGCATGCACAAGCCTATTTCTCCTCGTGCACACTCTGTTTAAAAGTTGCTGTTCTCATAGCTCATACAAGCTTACTGTCAGAACCTCCGACGTAACCCCTAAATCCCTCAATATATATAGAGGGGGGACTAAATAGTGAACTTAGTTAACTTACCATTCAGACAGATGATCACTGCCCCGTTGGTCCACTGTGAGGTGCCTGCAGCATCTCAGGTGGCGACAGCCTATAGCGACGGTGGTGACAGCAAATCCCATAATGCTTTGCGAGGAGAGCTCTCTCCGTGCAAAGCATTCTGGGATATATACGCCTCTTCTGAGGCCTTTCTTTTCTTTTCATACACTTCTTAGACACTTTTTATCTTACGACCCTCGGCCAATTTTAGAGAACCTCGGTGAGGAAGGTGAGCTTCAATGACTGTCTGAAACTTTAGCTCACCACAGATATACGCCTGAAATAAAAGATCGTCCTCTATACCTTTAAATAATATTTATTTAAACTACCGGTAAAAGGAATTGACTGACATGTGACATTTGCGCCAGATGCAAATACTAATGAAAAATACACGACATTTAACACTGGTGAAAGAAATTTCAATACAACAGAAGGAGGATAATCGTTGCTAAATTTTAGGAAGGAAAATAACACTTATAATAATGAGCAATGTAGTCCTAAACTTTTTAAAAATGTAAAGTAATTATTATTTGATCAAATATATAAGGAAATAATTGGTTTTCTTCATTTTTTTGTATTTCCAGATATGGTGACATGAGGGTAATGATGACTTATGAACTCTTCAACATGTGGCAGAATTTGGGTGAGAATTGTTTTTATTATAGCCTGAATATTTATCAATCTTTTTGAGTAGCTGCTAGATATTTACTCACAGCTTTTATCACATCATGTAATGATTTCAGAGTTTTTGCTTTAAATGTTTACTAGTAGAATTGATAACTTATAAAATCAAATTTTAATGCACCTGTGCTTATTTTAGGAGAGAATAAGATCCACTTCATTCCCGGTATGATCGGACCGTTCCTCGGAGTGACGCTGGTCCCTCAGGTGGAGGTGAGAAACATCATGATTCCGATCTTCCACGACATGATGGACTGGGAGCAGCGCAAAAATGGAAACTTCAAACAGGTACACAGAGATGTGTGCAGACTCACATTTCCCATGATCATATCCAAGAAACAGAAGAGTTCTACTCTGTTATAAAACCATACATAGGGAGTTTGTTTCCCTCCCTTTGAATGTGCAGGTGGAGGCTGAACTGATCGACAAGTTGGACAGTTTGGTGTCAGAGGGAAAGGGTGATGAGAACTACAGAGAGCTGTTTGGGTTGCTGTAAGGAAAACAGAGTTTGTTTTTTACTCTTAACTCCCACCAGCTGACTTTTTAAACCCATCCATTCTGTCTCTCTCTGTGATAAAAGAAACTAACTCCCTATTCCTCTGCTGTAACTCTGCTGTAACTCTGCTCTCTGCTGTTTGCTTTGCTCTTTGCTGCGGGACTAGAACCCAGCTGTTTGGGCCTTATCCCAGGTAACCCTATCACATACACAGAGATCCTTACTGTTAAGATTATAACTCAAAACGTGCTAAACACACAGAAGTCTTCATGTGGTGGACTAAGTCTGTATGTTGAGTTTTAATGCTTGTGTGATCTCTGCTGATTGGAAACAATCAACAATTCCAATGAAGGGAAGACAATTGTAGGAAATTTATATTCATCTTGCAGAGTCAAAAGATAGCAGACATCCAAAGCGTACGGAGAGACAAAGGTTTGGTGAGGGGAAGCCTTCAGCAACAATTAAAGAACTTGGCATCAAAATTACTTTGATGCAAAAATCTAGTTTTCTGTTTTTTCCTGAGCAGATTTGGCATTTAAAACCTGTTAGATGAGTAAGCTCATTTCTCCTTTCGAAATGTAAGGGTTTAAACTTAAATTTGCTTTATGCACTGCTGCAACCAGTCAGGAAGAACTATCCCATTCAATTTAGCTTCTGTGAATCTTTGATTGGCTCTCTCTAATGTTCCCCATATTATACTTTTTATCTGAACACAAACAGTTTTATATTTTGTAATGGCCCTGATGAAAGTTACAGGCCTCCATCTGCAGATAAAGGTGTTCCCTGGTACCTAGTACTAGCTGATGTTGGAGTTGATGCCTCAACAGTTCATGATTATTTTTTTTTTTTACATAACTTAAAATAGTAATTTTCATATACAGGAATATGGATATGAAACCAGATGAAAAAAGTAATAGCAGAGTTTTTAGCTTGAATATTAGTTCAGAAAGAGAAAACTTTCAGAGGTTTTTCCAGTGAGGAGGAACAAAGGAAATGTTGCCTGAGAGCTGCAGCACTACTCCCCTAACTTTTGGAGAGGATGGATGGTTCATCCAGTTTTTTGTTGTTGTTGTTTTCTGATGATGATGAAAAATCCATAATTTGTACATACAGTACTAACATCTAGGAAGCTCAGCAGCTTTTTCTGCTCTGGTGATCTTTGTTGTAAGAGTATCAGTTTTATTATATTATTCCAAAAGCTATCAAATATGATTTAACCTTAATCATTATAGAAAGCTGTTTATGGCTAAAAAAAGTAGTTTGTTGATTACTTTAAGATATTTTCCTCATGTTGCCATCAAGGATAACAAGTCATCTACTGTATTAATGGTGGATACATATATATTTAAAAAAGCAAACTGAGATTCTTAGTATGCTTTACACTTAACATTTAATTTCAGTTTCCTGATGATAAGATGATGATATGTTCACTTTCATATCATGATAAAAAAAAAATCTATTTTTCAAAATGACCCAAACTTAATTTCCAACACCAACCTGTGAGTTTAAAAACATTGAATAACATTGAATATTAATGGTTTTCCCTCATTTCCAAATAATTACTGATCCTGTTCTTCCATGGAGTCCTTTACTTTTAGATTACATCAGAAAAACAAACTGCAGAAATTCATGTGTCTATTCAGGAAAATTGAAAACTACTAATTGTATGATATTTACATTTTGTGATATTTTTCACATAAGCTCAGTCTTAATGGAGGTTATGTTTGAGTTAAGATTCAATTTCAAATCAAAATCAGTTTCTTAAAGGCAGATGTAGAAATGGAAATTCAGTTTTCAAGGATGTCAGATTGCTCTTTAGATTTGTCACCAGCCTGAAATGGTAACAGCTTCTGTTTTGCCCATTGTTCTGACTGGTTCATGTTTTCTTCTCAGTCTTTTGGAGAAGATTGAGCAGGAGACGTGGAAAGAAACAGGAATCTCATTTGTTACGTCGGTCACACGGTTGATGGAGCGGCTGCTGGACTACAGGTGAAATACAATATAGTCTCTGTGAAAAGTACTTTAAATCTACATCCTTTATATAGGTGTGCAGATCATTTTAAAAGTATATAAGGGAAACCAAACATTTACTAAAATAGAAGGGTTAACTTTAAATGTTATTGTTTTTTTAACAGGGACTGTATGAAGGGAGATGAGACAGAAAACAAGAAGATTGGCTGCACAGTGAATCTTCTTGTAAGATTAAGCAAAGCTCATATTTTGCCTAGTTAGTTATTACTTTGTTAAAAATAAAAGGAATGATTATTTTTATTCTGCAGAATTTCTACAAGTCAGAAATCAACAAAGAGGAGATGTACATCCGTTATATCCACAAACTGTGTGACATGCATCTGCAGGCTGAGAACTACACTGGTATGAAAAATCAAACCAATGTATGCAGAAATAAAATGTTAAGAAGGTGTTACTAATACTGTCTGATCGGCTGCAGAGGCTGCATTCACCCTGCTGTTGTACTGGGAGCTGCTGCACTGGGACGAGCGACCAGTTAAAGAGTTCCTGCATTATCCTGCTCAGACTGAGTGGCACCGGAAGGAGGGTCTCTGCCGCAAAGTCATCCACTATTTCAACAAGGGAAAGGTTTGTTCTCACACGCAGTCTGTCCGAAAAATCGACAAGCCTATTCAAGATGACAGCATATAAAGCTCAGTCATGTTATCACGTCAGCCTTGGAGGTGATGCAAATGCTCAATTAATAACCCCTGATCCATATTGCAATCCAGGTTTAGGATTTTTTTAAGGGTTCTTTAAAATGTTGCCATTGAACTGAGACTTTCCAATTGTGAGGTGAGCCTCCCCTAGGGGGCGCCAGAGCTGTAGAAATAAATAACTGAAGATATTTGGCCAACAGAGACAAACCTGTGGCTGAATGAAATCCAGTTCCCCAACCTCTCCGTAAACACGTTAGAAATAGGCCTATTCATCAAGCTGGTCCCATCATATATTATGACTCATGGGACATGACTTCTATTTCACCATTATTTGGGTTTAGGTATAAGTCCTGTGAAGTTAGGTTTAATAGATGGCAGACTGGTGAGGAGAATCTGCAACCACAATATATATGATAAATCACAGAATATGGTGTTTATTGGAATTTTCAAAGGATTTCTGTGGGATGAGCTGCTTGGTAGAGCTCTGTGTTCTATTAATGCTTTCTAGTTACTGGTGTTTTGCCTCTTTAAGGAACAAGTTAGGATAAATACCTAAATAAAAGCAACTAACAGTTTTATTCAAGGTTTAATTGCTATGATAAGTGATATATTTGAAATATTTCTGCTTTTTTATTTTACACAGTAAGTTAAGTAATGTAAATGTAACCATTATTTAATTTTTAGTTCATATTTTTTCAGAAATAAATTCAGCTTTTGATAAAAATATAAATAAAATATTTATCTATGTGGATTTTTTTTTATCTCTAGTGTTGGGAATATGGGATTCCTCTCTGTAGAGAACTGGCTTTCCAGTATGAATCTCTCTATGACTACCAGAGTCTCAGCTGGATACGGGTGAGCTCCATCAGAAACCATGATCATCATTAATCCAATAACACATACTATGCTTAAGAAGTATGTATAGAGTTTGTTTTGATCAGCAGACATAGTAAAGTTTTAGTATGATTGTTACAGTATTACACTTTAACATTTCTTTTGCATTTAAGTAATAATTATTTCATAATTATTTCAATATTGAGTGTAATATATATATATATAATCAAAATATTATGATATGATTGCGATTTAATTTATAATTTTATAGTTCTTTCAATGAGGTTATTGTAAGATGTTTCCATTATGATCTGCGTTTGCAGAAAATGGAAGCAGCTTATTATGACAATATTATGGAGCAGCAGCGTCTGGAGCCGGAGTTCTTCAGGGTGGGATTCTATGGCAGAAAGTTTCCTTTCTTCCTCAGAGTGAGTCCAATGTTTGGAAGAATCAAACCATTTTATTGCTCATTCAAGTCGAGCATGAAAAGGTTCATTATATTGAAAAATTTGCATTTCCCATTAAATATCTCATCACAATTGAACCTTTGTTTTTTTTATTTTCTTTCTCTTTCACACCAGAACAAAGAGTTTGTCTGTCGTGGCCATGACTATGAGAGGCTAGAAGCCTTCCAGCAAAGGATGCTGGGAGAATTCCCACAAGCCATTGCAATGCAACACCCGAATCAACCTGATGAGGCCATTCTGCAGTGTGATGCACAGTGTATCCTTCAGCCATAATGCTGCAGCATCTTCACATATATATTAAATAATATTAACGAGAACTGGGTCTGAACTCCACATGTCTGATTAGATCTTTGACCTTCTGGGCTCAGACCTCCAGATTTACGCTGTAACACCGTTTCCAGAAAGCGTCACTGTCCTTCAGATGGACAGAGTTCCAGACCGTATCAAGAGCTTTTATCGAGTGAACAACGTTCGCCGATTTCGTTATGACCGTCCGTTCCACAAAGGACCCAAAGACAGAGAAAACGAGTTTAAGGTAAACACCAAGGAGTTTAACTCATACGACTTTATTACACATATACTGCTCTGTAAAAACAAAGTTCATCTTTTGAATATTGTATGCAAATACTACTATTTTTTTATGTAAACTAATTTTTCAAACAAAATATATATCTCTAAATGATCCAATGTTAACCTAAAAGACTTCCAAGTTAAACATGCCATAACAGTTTTCCACAACAGTGTCAGAGACACTGTTGTGGAAAACCTTTAAGCTGGATTTGGACGCAAAAAGATTTCCTGAGCTTTAAACATCACAAGGAGCACTGTGCAGGTGATAATATTGAGAATCAGACCACTGTGAATCTACAGAGACCTGCCGCCCCTCTGAACTTTCAGCTCAAACAAAGAGATGAGAGATCTTCCGCTGAGGTGGGAAACTCTGTCCAGACAACAATCACTTGTCCACAGAACAAATCTAGACATTATGGAAGAAAGTTGTTTCTTGAAGACATCCATAAAAAGTGGATTAGGCATGCCAAACAGGTGGAAGAAGGTGCTCAATTAAACTAAAATCGAACTTTTTTGCAACAATGCAAAACATTTGTTTGGCGTAAAAGCAACAAAACTCCCCATCCTGAACACACCAGCCCCACTGTCAAACATGGTGGTGGCTGCATCATGGTTTGGGCCTGCTTTTCTTCAGCAGGGACAGGAAGGAGATGGTTAAAATTGATGGAAAGAGGGATGGAGCCAAATACAAGACCTTTCTGGAAGAAAATTTGTTGGGAGTCTGCAAAATACCTGAGACTGGGATGGAGATTTATCTTCCAACAAGACAATGATCCAATTCATAAAGCCAAATCTACAATTGACTGGTTTCACAGATAAACATATCCAGGTGTTAGAATGGTCAAGTCAAAGTCCAGACCAGAATCTAATCAAGAATCTGTGGAAAGAAGGAAAACTGCTGTTCACAAACGCTCTCCATCCAACATCACTGAGCCTCAGCTGTGGAGCAATAGACAAAAATGTCACTTTCTCAATCTGCAAAACTGATAGAGACATATGATTACAGCTACAATGAGTTGCAGCTGTAATCATAGCAAAAAGTGGCTGTACAAAGTATTAACTGAAGGAGGCTAAATTATTTTGCATACCCAATTTTTTTTGTTTTTTTATTTGTTTAAAAAGTTTAAAATATTTACCCAATAAATTTTATTCTATTTCTTGATTGTGTCCCACTTGTTGTTGATTCTTCACAAAAAAAGAAAAAGTTTAAGGCATAACTTGTGCAGGGAGGTTATAGATTCAGTCAATTTATATTAGTTTGTGTTTTGTTTTATTTTTCAGAGTCTCTGGATAGAAAGAACGACTCTGATCCTCACACACCCTCTGCCAGGAATTTCCCGCTGGTTTGAGGTAGAAAAGAGAGAACTGGTGAGTGAACTAAACATCTTCCTATGCAAAATGACTCCCACTGTTAATAGATCAGCACCTTATTTCAACAGTTGGAGAAAATTGCTTGATTATAATCCCACAAACCTACAGATGTGGTTTGCATTTTAAATTAGAATATTGTTAGTTTATTGTAAATTTGTGCTGTGAAACTCTGTAATTGCTTTTTACTATAAGATCCCTGAAGTCTAAAAATCTGAGGAATAAAATTCTGCAGTTTTCAAAGACTGGATAAAAAAAAAGGAATTACAGAAATATTTTATTTTATTTGCTGACAATAGTCCCAGTCCTTTTTCCTAAAAGTGAAACATTTAAATCTGTATCTCTGAGTTTTGCTGCACTTTGACTAGAGCAGCCAATGGGAGATATTTGACTTTGTTTACAATATAAAATCTTATATTTTACATTTTATTTTATAAAACAAGTTAATCCATACACCTGTAATTGTTTCATTTAGAGGGAAAATACACATTGGTCACGTAAGGGCTTTAAAAAGTAATCATTTTGGAACTGCGGCTGATAAAGGATGCTTCATTTAGTCTTATGAATTT